ATCTTTTTCTTTATTACTTGTTTATTATGTATTTGCCTATTATTTTGTTTTTTTTATTATGTATTTATATAAAGTAAGATTTTTACTCTTAATTAGTTTTTGCCTCTTATTTTGTTTTGTTATTCTGTATTTATATAAAGTAAGTTTTTGTATGATGTTTAAGATCTGTGAAAGATGTGTGGTATTTCTAATTCGTTGGTTTTGTATGTTTCATGTCATGTTTAATAGTTTGTTGTTTAATGTAATGTTTATGCTTTGTTGTTTTTATATTTCACATCTATAACAAATCTCATATGGAATTTAATTAGTCCTACTAAGAACAAAATCCATTACAATATTGTTTTCACAATTCCAGAAATAATAAAAACAACCTCTAAACGTGTTATCACATGAGCAATATATTTGTGGAATCTTTTTGATGTACGAAAGTGAGAAAATTTTGGCAATAGTTGAGATAGTCATGCTTCTACAGTGGAAAAGCTCTTTTTGCTTCATATTTATATGCATTGGGTTTAGGCTGGATAACACTTGATATCCTTCTAGTAGTATCTCTTTTATGTGAAGCAATATATACCTAAATCGTAAGTTGTTTCGATGACACCCATAGTAGAGGCTTGCTTCAAGATATGACAACTAACTTCAACATTGACACAATATTTGGAAAAACACTCAAATACACCTTCTCTAAGCAATGCATCTAGATTTCTGGAAACACAAGTCTTTCGTACTAGCATCCATTCAAAATGATCCAAAGGTTTCAAGGCATATCGATGAAGTCAAACATTTACAAATATGAATCTGTAATTTGATGCCAAGCAAAAGTCCCAACAAGTTAAATGAAGGTGGAGAAAGTCCTTAATAGAATTAGAAAACAACACAACGTAAAATCTCAACTAATATATCATTTTGAAGATAAGATAATGAATATTTAACTGCCAATAAAAACGATGGAAAAGTCTATGAAAATGATAGATAATATAATTAAAAAGATACACAGAAGACGAAGTACTGAGGACCACTTGCTTCATCTCTCATATATATAATGTCTGACGCTGGATAAGATAAAATCTAAAGAAAAAGAAAGGCGTCTCAATGGAAGCGCTTTTCCCATTTTTAGAGAATCTCTGCCATGTTATAGTGTTTCATCCCATCTGAAATGAAAGACACATTCTAGAAGAAGCGTTTCCATTATTATTCAGAGAATCTCTGCCATGTCATAGTGTTTCATCCCATCCAAATGAAAGGCGCTTTCCAGGGGAAATATTTTCCATTATTATTTAGAGAATATCTACCATGTCGCAGTGTTCCATCCAATCTGAAATGAAAGACACGTTCTAGGGGAAGTGTTTTCCATTATTATTAAGAGAATTTCTGCCATGTCATAGTGTTCCATCCCATCTGAAATGAAAGACGCATTCTAAGGGAAGCGTTTTCCATTATTATTCAGAGAATCTCTGTCATTTCACATAATTAACATGAATTGTTACCCTCAATATCTTAAATTCTTCAATTCTAAAACTCTACATCTTTGAAATCTCAAACTCTCAAAGGTTCAAACTTTAAAACTCTCAAACTAAGAAAATGGCTCATATTTCAGCTGTTGTTTACTATGATGGAGAAATTGGGGAAGATGAATGCGAGGTTGTTTTCCGATTAGATCATTATACCATTATATCCTTCATGAGAAACATCATTCTTCACGATTTAATCAAAAAAATCTCAATGAAGTCTTGTGTTAGAAATAATAGAATATTGGCTACACTTCAGTACAGATTTCCTACTGAAATTTTTTCATTAACATATACATCGTTCAATCTCTTAAACGATGACGATGTTACTATGATGATTGATGCTTCCAATCAAAATTCAAACTCTATTACAAAAATGTATGCCATTTTTGTTGACGTATATGCAGTTCAGGGTATGTCTTTATCCTTCCACTATGGCTTGCCTGAACTAGTTGATCAAGTTGTCAGTCCAACTCAAATAATCTGCAATGATTTCACGTTATTAATGGCAAACATACCTCATGTTAGCACACCATCAAGTTCCATGGGAAGGCATTCATCTTTCATTTTTTCGACCTCAATATAGAGATGTCTTCTAGTTCCAGGGAAAGACATTCATCTGCCAGCACCTTCGACCTCGATATGGTAATGCCTTCCACACAACACTCAATTCATAACCAATATGGTGATATATCTTCAAGTTTCAGAGGAAGACATTCATATGCTAACTTGTTCAAACTAAACATCAAAGTCATCATGTCCTCCAGAAGAACCTCTTCGTGAGCCAAGGTAGATAATACTGAAACTAGATTATTCCTTGAACTCAAGTCACCGCAATTCAACATGGACTCTGATGATGATACGGATAAAGTTCCTACAAATATGGTACAATACGAACTCCAACATAGCTGATTATGATGCAATGTACGGGCAAAATTTCCTGATTTGCCTCATCTTGAAGACTATGAGAGGCATTCATCAATTAATGATGATGATTTATATTATGGAATGGAGTTCAAATCTAAAGAAGAAGCAATGATGACAATTAAGAATTACAATATTCGTAATTCATTTCAGTCCAGAGTCGACCGATCTACCACTGAAAAGTATGTTGTTATTATATCCAGCGTGATAACGACTTCAACTAGATGATTCTTGTTTCAAAGAGGAAGAAGATCGGTAGATGAGAATTAACAAAATACAACGGTCCTCATACATGTTGTGCACAGGGGATCAACCAGGACCATCCAAACTTGGACTCCAACGTGATTTGCCTAGTCATCCTGCCCTTGGTCAAAGCAAGCTCCCACATACCTATTGCAGTGTTGATTTCTGTAATACAATCTCAATATGGGTACACCGTCTCCTACAAGAAAGCATGGAAGGCAAAACAAAATGCCATTATAAAACTACACAGTGAATGAGATTCATCTTACAACGAACTATCCACTTGATTTAACCTGGTTCAACGACTAAATCCTGGGATAGTAGTTGAGTTTGAAACTCCCCATGCCTACCAGAATGATCTAGTTCTTCGAGATTGATGTCAATTCCACCGTGTTTTTTTTACTTACCCACAATGTATTAATGTAGTGAAATACTCTAAACTCATTGTCCAAATTGATAGTATATTCTTGTATGAAAAATACTAGCAAATTTTATTATTGAAAGTTGTCCAATATGGTAATCGTAACATTCTTCATATTGCCTTTGCCCTTGTTGAAGGAGAATATACAAAGTCTTGAGCTTTTTTACTGAAAAATCGATGGTTACATGTTATCACAAGGGAACATATTTGTATCATTTCAGACCGAGGAGCTGGGATCAAAGCAGCAATAGACTCTTTGGGTCCAATGTGGAAAACCCCACACGTCCAACATCGTCTCTGTATCTGACATATTGTTGCAAACTATCATGACATATATAAGAAGAATGATGAACGACAATTAATTATATGCATGAGTATGTTACATTTTCCCAATTTCATTTCTCACTCATTTTCATTTTTTTATACTAACTTCATTTCACTTAGGTTATGAACTCCCATATCAAATATTTGAGGTTATGCTTTAAGAATTGTGAGGAAAAAATGAACATAGATACAATTACATCAGTAAAATCAACAAAGAAAAGTGGACAAACACATACGATGGTGGACATCGATATGGACATATGACAACCAACTTGGTTGAAGCAATCAATTCAACCTTAAAGGGCCCGTCATTTACTAGTAATTGCTTTGGCTAAAACGACATATTTTCGTTTGGGTTAACTTTTTGCCAAACTCGGGGACAAGCTCTTACTTGGATGCAAAACGATCATGTTTATCACATATGATTAGTAGCAGATCAACAAAAAATGTTGCAGTATCAAACAACATATCCGTAATAAGCTTTTCTCACACTCAAGAATTATTTCGGGTCACAGAAATACTATGAACTCTTCAATGGATTGAATCTAACTCTTTCATAGTTAATCTACGAGACAGATTCTGTGATTGTGGGTTTTTTAAGCTTTGAAGTATCCATCCTCCCATGTCATAACAACTTGCTCATTTTCTCGTTAAGACTATAAACATTATGTGGATCCCGTATACCAACTTTCACAAGTATTCAAGGTATATGAATATGAATTTCTTCTCATAGGTAATGACAAAGATCCAAATAAGGTTCAGACTTGGTTTCCAATTATACCAGATTCAGACTTAGTAAAGGAGTCAGGTCGTCCAAAATTTACTCGAATTCATTGTTATATGGATATTCTAAAGACGTCAAGACAAAACTTAATATGTGACCATTGCAGAAACCCCTACCACAATAGGAAAAATTGTCCATCTCTTTCATCATCACGTAATTGTTAACCACCACTCATGTAATAATATTTTCTAATGTTTCACCTTATGTTATTTCATTTTCTTTTATTTTCAATTAACATGATTTTAGCTTGTTTATTTTACAAGATGACCCTTTTGCATATCTATATATTTTTTCTAATTAAATGTTTAACGTTTATTTCTTACAATCTAACATACAATCAACTTTAACCCTACACTACTTTAAAAACACAAACATTCTAACATACAATCAATTTTAACCCTAACGTATTTTAAAAATCCTAAACCATACAAATATAACACCCTAAACCACTAAAAAACCCTTAAAACTACTTTAACGTAAAACCTTAAACCTAAAACCACCGACCATGGGAGGCGCGTTCCCTACAACATGTCATTCAAGGGAGGCGTATTCTATGTGGTGCGAGGACGCACCATTCATAAAAACCCAAACGCACCTTCTTCCCCTCAGCTAAGGCTGTCTCCTATCTTGCGTCTCCTTCTCTCTCTTAGAAAAAGGTGTTAGATCGAAAAATAATTGAGAAATGATGTTTGATAGGTAGTATTTTTTTAATAGTGTATTTTTTAATAAAAGAAACCATAAAAATGTGGAAAAAAAAATTAATTAATACACGTATAAAAATAAAAACCCAAAAAGGAGACCCACAAGAACCACAACAGCTCTTTGTCTCTGCAGTTTTGTGCAGAAGGAAAGTGCAAACAAATTTCTGGAATCCCAACAAGAGAGTACCAAAAAAGAGAACTCGGCACCGCGACGCGGAACGTGTCAATTCGGCGGAACGAGTAGTCGTCAATCGATTTCAATCTTCATCATCTGATCATCTATATCCCTGATAGTGAGTTAAAATAAGAAAAAATGAACTAATAATTGACAAATTTTATCAATTTGATTGATTCCAAAAGTCTTTGTTTATTTACTTTTTTCCCCTTAATTTGATAGGATCCAAGGCGGTTTTCGGAGATTGTCGTTGTGTTTTATTTTAGTTTTTATAATTATATATTTTTTCTCTAAATAATTATTGATGTTGGATTTTCGGGAAGGAAGGGTGAGGGGCTAAGGTTTTGGTGGGTTAGGATTAGGGTTTTTGGGGGTGGATTTGGAGATGAATGAAAATTCTGAGCCTGAAGAAGGAGAAGCTTGCTATTACAGGGATGATGACGATGACACTATTAACCCCGATACCGCTCTCTCTTACCTTGTAAGGGTTCAATTTTTTGTTTTCTTAAGGAAAATTCTATGGATTTTACATCCGTTTTATGTTTAAAACTTGGGATTATGCTTTAGTTGATGCAATTTGGGCCTTTTGATCGGAATTATGCTGAATATTAAGTTTGATTAAGCATTTATCCAACTTTGTAGGTAATGCAGTTCTATCAAGCTTTATTGTCAGGAATGGTTAATTTGAAATTATGCTTAATTTTGGGTTTATTAGACATAAAGGGAGAATGAACTAATTACTATCTAGAATAACTTCGGACTCTTGTTATTAATTAGAATCCCACGAGGCTTTAAGTTTGTGGTGTTTGACCATGGATTCATCAAGTGTTGAAGTGGACTTTAGAGGATGAGATAATTCAGCTCGCAAACTTAGTGGACAAACATGTTACTTTGACATGCTTATGTAGATAAATAATTGGTTAAGATAGGTTCATTTTTCACCAATCACCACTAGGAATGTAAATGAACAACTAGAAGAATAAGCTTTAAAGCCCCATTCTGTGTCTTTGTTCAGTATTGTATTTTGTTTTGCTATGTGATAGTATTAAAATGTTGTCCTGTTTCTCAGAAATAATTTGATAAATGATAAAAGTCCTTTGCGTGGATGTGGATGATCTTTGAAACTTCCTCAACATTTGGAATTTTTTATGTTGATGATAGTGTTTGTTTGAATATGTGATGCGATTAGCTTTGTCAGTTCTCTTAATTCATTTGATCTACTTTATATTTGCAACATAAAGCTATAATTAATTTCATATGATATTACTTTTTGTATAACCACTGGTATCTTACCTATTGGTAGACACTTTCATATGTTATTATTGAGCTCCTCTAAAGAATGAACTTTCAGATGCTATTTAGAGTTGGCTCTTGTGCCCATTTAATTGAAGCTGGTCACTAAATAAGTCTCTCTGTAGACAGCTCAGTTCTCTTAAGCGTTGTTGGAAGGGATGGTTAATTTGAAATTATGATTAATTTTGAGTTTATTAGACATAAAGGGTAATAAAACTACTAACTAGAATAAGCTGTGCCGCTTTATATGAATTAGAGTCCTACTAGGCTTTAAGTTTTATGGTGTGTGTCCGTTGGTTCACCGAAGTGTTGAAGTTAACTTCTGAGGAGGGGATTATAATGTTCTTTGCGAACTTAGTAGACAAGTGTTTTTTTACATGCTTTTTTAGATAAATGCTTGGTTTAGCAAGATATTTTTTCATCACTAGGAATTTAATAGAAATAGTGTTAGAATGTCGTCCTGCTTCTTAGCAACAATTTGATGCATGATAAAAAATTTGTTGCCCTGATGATCATTGAAACTTCCGACCCATTCAGAGTTTTTTTTTCTTGTTGATGATAGTGTTTATTTGAATGCAAAATATGGTTAACTTTGTCAGTTCTCTTCATTTCAATCTAATTCATATTTGCAATATTAATGTAATCTTTCCTGAAAAGATTGGACTTGGAGATGATACTAATACTTGTACCCGTTGTAATTCAATATATCAGCTTTAACATACAGTTTTCAACATTCTCTGTGCTATTCCATTAGTAATGTGGGATTTCATTTCTTAAAGGATGAGAAGATCAAAAACGTTTTGGGCCATTTTCAAAAAGATTTTGAAGGTGGTGTTTCAGCAGAAAACTTGGGTAAGTGTTTGATCACGATGTTATAAACTTAAATACTATTGCAAGCTTGATGTTTGAAGTTTATGATGAAGACTAAAATTTCTTAACAGGGGAAAAATTTGGTGGGTATGGCTCTTTTTTACCTACCTATGAATGCTTTCCATCAAGTTTATCACATCCAAAGACACCACAGAGGAACTCCAGCACACCAAGGTCTACAAAGAATTTATCCATGGAGGTATATGATCAATATTTGTTCGATATTTTGATCATTTCTTTGGAAAATGATGTACTTAGCCGTTGCCTAGACAGCTTCTGAAATTCTTGTTTACCTGGTTGCTGTGGATTCTGGTATGATACAGGGTGCATTCCAGAATTTGAAAGCTCCTCCAAGTGCACCCCTAGCTGCGAGACATGGGAATGCTTCTTGCCCAAGTGGCATTATTGCAGCCAAACATGATTCTCTTTTGTCCTTTAATCATGTTGCTGAGAAGCCCGCCTTAAAGGATGCGAGTTTTAAAAGAGCAGATATCCTGACTGACCGAAGGACACTAAAGGTCCGAATTAAGGTGGGATCTGATACCAAAATTCAAATGAACTCTGCAATCTATAGTGGTCTTGGGCTTGATGATTCTCCAACTTCTTCATGGGGTAACAGTCCTGACGAAAGTGGAGGAACAATGACGGCTTCTCCAGGAAATACAAATGAATCACCTACTAAAATTCTACAGGTAGAGGTTCTCTTGGTTGTTTACAATGTCTGCTTGTGAACTAAGAAGGACGTGTTAATGTTTTTATGCCTTCATACAGGTTATGACTTCCTACCATGTCCCTGGTGGTGTACTCATATCTCCTCTTAATGATAGTCTGCTATGCTTATTAAGAAACGAGAAGGGACGGTCTTGTAGAGATAGTACAACTATCCCCTTGCTTAAGGCATGTCGAGAAAATTCTTCTGGGTTAATAGATGAGTCCATTTTGGGTAATGGAAAAGAACTCAGTGAGAAGAAAACAGAATTTTTAATTGGAAAAAGCAAGAAGGTGCTGGAATCAAAGCATGGGAATCGTGTGAAGGTTGGAAATGATAAGAAGTTGCTCACAAGAAAGATGTCAGAAAGCAAGATTACAGGAGGGGAGGAGTTGTTAGCCGATGACTTGAAACACACAGCTCTATCTAATTCAGTGGATGTTTCCGACTCTGTGGAGGCCACACCTAGGGTATGTAATCTTTCTGCGGAGGCTAATCAGGATGGATCAAGAGGTGGATTATTTTCCTCTGACTCATCAAAGAAGGATTCTTTGGAGTCAATGTCTGGTGGGAGCAGATCTAGTGGCAGAAAGAAAAAAAGGGTTAGTCAGCACAGTTTGGTTGAAAAGGTTTGGGAACAGAGTGTAGTAAGTTCTGATAAGAACACTTCACTTGACCTTGGGGATTATGGTGGCAGTAAATGCTACCAAGATACTGCCCATTTAAAGTGTAAGGAAGATTCAAAAACAAAGGTTGGCCAGGAAGCTACATTTCATGTTCAGAATGAAATAAATATTCCCTCCGAATTGGAAAACACATTGTTTGTGGGCAAGAAGAAGTCAAAAGGTAGCAAAAATACTGGACCAATTGCTGATTCAATGAAGGAAAGTTTGAGACTTGTTGCGGGTACAACACCTAAAGATACTACCAGTTCTAGTCAGAGTTTTTCTTCAGGTAAAAGTAAGATGCATAAGTTGAAGTTGCAGAAGGATAGGGCCCGAGGTAATCATACAGATGCGTTGGACGCCAATTTCAAAGAAAAACGTGAGAAAATGGATTCGTCAATGAGTCTTGTTCACAATAGGCCAAAAGGTTCTGGTTCAATGGATTTTGAGAGGGAGAAGAATGGCTCTTTGGACAAGTCAAAAGAAATATTTAATGATAGAACAGTTGACAACCAGCTGTTGGGAGTGGATGCTCCAGGTGTGGTTCACCTCACTGATAAGACAGTTGCCTCGCAGATGACAGCATCGGCAGCAGCTGCTCCTGTAGTCATAGAAGAAAACTGGGTTCAGTGTGATCGTTGTCACAAGTGGCGACTTTTGCCTTTTGATAGTAGACCTGAACAACTCCCTGAGAAGTGGTTGTGTAGCATGCTTAACTGGCTGTAAGTTCTTTAGATGAGAATAAAATATTGTTTTTGTTGCATATGCTTTTCCCTTTGTTTGAGTACAACCTATGTGCATTTATCAACTAGTACACCTGATGCTCCTTGACATGCAAATAAGTAGAAACACCTGGTGAATGATGGGTGCATTCATAGATGTGTTGTGTATCTGTGAACATATGCTTGTAATTTTGCTTTTGCTGATTTTTGTTATTGAAACTGTTGTATAGGCCTGGAATGAACCGGTGTGATATTAGTGAGGATGACACGACAAAAGCTCTCAATGCATTGTACCAGATTCCAATTGCTGAGAATCAAAACAACCCACAGAATCATGCAAGTGGAACCATGTCAGCCCATCTTCAACATCTTGATCAGAAAAACTCTAGTTTCATTTCTCATGTATCATCAATTCAAGGCAAGAAGAAACATGACCCGAAGGAAGTGCGCAAAGCAGGTAACAGTGGCCTGAGTCTGATGTCAAACTCTAAAAAGAACCAGAAGCAGGAATCTATGAAAATTAGGAGCTTAAAGAACATGACCCAGGTTCCTGCTGAATCAAATCTTGCAAAGAAACCCATCTGTCAGCAAAATGAAAAGAATCCAGTTGCAGGTATTTAGTCCACTTGAGAGCCGAAATTATACTATCAGTCAAACATTTATATTGAGAGAGTATTTGTTTACTTTTTGGGAATCTGTTTGATTGTAGGAGGGACCAAGCAAGCAAAGATGAAAAACAAGAGATACTCTGATCTGTATGTGAATGAGGGTTCAAAGAAACCCAAAACAGAAGTTGTATGCACCACTGATAAACATCAGAGCTGTAATGTGGATAACAGAATGGTGGGCCTTAATACAAGCACTGGCTTACCAACTCAAGTAAATGGAAAAAGTCTGCAGAACTATAACAAGTGCTCTGATTCTGGGGATGTAAAGCATGATTTGAAAGAAAGATCAGTAGTTTCTGTTAAGAAAGTTGTGGGTCAAATTGAGGCCTCATCATCAGATGGTATGCCATTAGATATGAAAAGAAGTGATAAAATGGTTTTTGTGAAGAAAAGGAAATGGGAGGACCGAGAGGACAGTCAAAACGGCCACAAGTTATATATGAAGGAAGAAAGTAGTGAGAGTGGATTTAGGAATGAAAAGAAACCACGAGTTTCAAAGATTGAGGAGAAACATTCCCTTAGAAATGATGGTGATGGCACATCAAACAAGAAAAGCATGGATCATTTGGTTGGCAGCACTGAAGAAGTCAGAAGCATTAATAGGAACCAGCAACTTAGAAAACACAAGAAAAAGTCCTCTTCTCACAAACTTTTGGATGGCCTTGATTATTTGAGAAGGGATTCTGACACTGGACAAATTTTGAAGGAAGCAATGTCTAGCTCTTCCAAAGGTTTCTGGTTCTCATAAAACAAGAGTAAACTTCAAAGAAGCAAGGGGTTCACCAGTCGAGTCGGTTTCTTCATCTCCCATGAGGACCTCATATCCAGAAAAGTTTGCATCAAGCAAAGGGGAGCCTTTAGGGAAGGATGCTACTGCAAATACTGCCATTCCCCCTAGTGGCATTCTGGAAGATGTTGGGATGGAGAAGGTACTGTTGAGCTTATTCAGTCTGTTCTAGAAAAGAAAGATAAAGTTTCAGGTGATTTTAATCCTAAATCACATAAATCTTCTACCCTGGATAGAGGTTCTATTTGCAAAATCAGCATTAAAACTAAACCTTCTTCTAGAATGGGGAATAGCCATTTGTGTAATGGTGATACTCGTTCTGCAGAAAATGGGCATCATGCTCTAGAACGGTCCCATGGTGAGGATAGAGTGAACAAGGAGTTCCATGTCAATGCGTTTTCTCAGTCACAGACAAAGAACAGTGAAACAAGTTCTGTTGCAGATAAGATGAAGGTTAATGATCCAGCAGATCAACAGGAAGATTTGTGTTATAGAAAGAACATGAAGTATCAGTCAGATATCAGCCACAAGGGTCATGGATGTCTTCAAGAAACAATTGCTGATTGCAAACTAAATTTTCCAGAACCTAGCAAGGGTGAGAAGAACAATGTTGAAAGGAGGGACCCTTCAGGACATTGGTCAAGTGACAGTAGAAAGGAAGCCCGATCAAATAAAAAGCATGATGCTGATGCAAAATCTGTTGCTGCATGCAGCACAAAGGGGAAGACTGCCCCTGAGAAAAACCTGATCCAGGATATTGGTGGTCACACTAAATTAATGCCAGTGGAGACAAGAAGCGGAATCTCAAAATTCTCCTTGCATTCTGAGGTCGAGAGCCAGCAAGAAATAAAGGGCCATCTAAAAACACCGGAAGCCGAACAGAGAGTTGTTTCTGACGGGCTTCCAATTGATTTGTCTAAGGCTATAAAATTGCCTGGAAAAGCTGGCAGCAGGAATGGATCTGACAACAGTTCGGGGAAGCACATACCTGATTTGTGCAAGGCTCACAGTCTGGTAAGAGTAAATTCCTCCGACCAGACAGAAAATAATGCCCTGAATGATGCTGAGAAGCTTAAGGTTTGTTTTCAGATTTTTTTCTGACATAGTTATGCCACTTTCTAAATGTCAGTTAAAATGTTTTAACTATTCTAACTGTTTACTACCATTTGATTGTCTTCTTTCAGAGTTCGGGTTTTGTTTTTGAAAGCAATGAGATTTACTTCAAAGCTGCTCTTAAGCTTCTTGGCCTTGCTGCCTGGCTAGAGACTAGCAATGGTGAGATAGGTAGACATGGCAACACAAACCAAATGCAAGTTTATAGTACTGCCACTAAACTTTGCGAGTATGTAAATGCTTCAGAAGTAATAGTAAACTGTTGTTTTGTGAACTTCATTAGATTTGTTTGTTTATATTTACATTAGGAGTGTTTACAGATACCTATTATCTTTGCTCAATGCTGACTTCTCAAGTTCACAGACACTGCCCAAGAATTTGAAAAAAGTGGAGAAATGGCTGCTGCTGCTTTGGCCTATAAATGCATGGAGGTAGCATACATGAGGGTTGTTTACTGCAAACATTCTACTAGCTTCCGTGACTGTAATGAGTTGCAAGCAACTCTACAGATGGTTCCCCAAGGCAAGCAGGCTTGTTTTCCTCTGCATGATTGATTGCACATAGGTTCTATTTGATACTATCTACTTTTAAAGTTTGAATCATATGCAGTAATTGTTTTTGCCTCATGTTCCAGAGAGTACCATTTCTTATTCCTTGGCTAGAAGATTCACCTAACTGTATAACTTGACACAGCATACTACAGCACAAAGGTGGTTCTATCGCCCCCTGGGTAGAGGACCTCCAGGGCTTTGATTTATATTTAAGTGCAGTCAGCAGTGCTTGTTTCTTGTTTAGGTCCCACTGAATCTGTAGCAGCATGTGGATATTTCCTGATGGGGCTACAGCTCTAATTCGTCTTTCATATCATGCTTTAATGGGTCTAACATAAACTACACTGTAACAGATGCTTTTTTGGGTTAAGATGCAACCTTAGTTTTTTCGGATGGCTTCTTTCAGGTGAATCTCCATCATCTTCTGCATCAGATGTTGATAATAGCTTAAATAATCAACATACAATGGAAAAGCCTCCATTAGCCAAGGGTTTAGTTTCACATGTTGGTGGGACCCATGTAATTCTTGCTAGAAACTGCCCAAGTTTTGTTCGGCTGCTTGATTTTGTAAGTTGATTCAGACTCTTCAGTTTTTTCCTTCTCTCTCGCTTTTCTATTTAAATCATTTGATTTATATGTTTAGTAGGCGGTGATTTACACTGAGTTTTTACATCAGTAACTACTAGAAACTGCCTATAAGCTATTCTTTGCTTGAAGAATGTTCCTAGGTAGATGAACACCAGCTATTGTGGACAACTCCTAAGTTGTTATGAGGTAGTTGGACTTGGATATATGTGATTGTGGTGGAAATACGATGATATTTGAATGAAGAAGTGTAAAAAAGGCTAATTTGTATAAGTCTAATCACTGCCCCCCAGCAGTACAATTTGCATTATCCTACTTGGGTTCTTGGTAGATATAAGTTCTTCCCAAACCAGCTGTTGGAAACTACACTTTTGATTGCTTGAAGGGTATTAGATGGTAAAGGGAGGGAGTTAATAAGTTTGTTTTTCTCGAGTCTCGACTGTCCAGTAGGTTGATGTCTGCAGTCTGAACCTACTTGTCCTCATAGTCTTATTATCTGTTTCCCTTCTTAATTGTCACGTTCCGACTTACTAGGGAAATTGTATTTCTCTGAATGTCATGTTAACCTAATAAGGTAGTTTGAGAAGTGGGTAAATGCATTAATATATTCCTGTTCTGCAGACACAGGACGTAGGTTTTGCTATGGAGGCTACAAGAAAATCCCAAAATGCTTTTACAACTGCAACTGCATCCCTGGAAAAAACACAAAATACTGAGTGTATTATTTCTGTTAGAAAGGCAATCGATTTGAGCTTCCAGGATGTGGATGGATTTGTATGCTTGGTTCAGCAGGCTATGGAGGCCATTAGTCGTTCCGGTTTAGGTGGTGGTAGAGAGTAAGTTACCCATGTATATACCGTCTTTTCGGTTTCTAACCCCCAATGTTCGATGGAGGAGGAAGGGGAAAAAGGTGCCTTGCTTAGATGTGCATTTCGAAACAAGCAAAGACCTGGTCACTGGTAGCATGTTGCCTCTCTGTACATGTGTACAAAGTGAGTCTAATCTGCAAATTTTGGTAATGTATATTTCAATTTTTTTTACCACCTTGACATTTTCAAACACGCTCACCCTTAAGTTTAGTGGGTTGGCAAAAGAGGATAGAAATTCTAGTTTTATTTGGTATGAGATTGGGAGTTGGATATGTAAGATGTCTATTCCATAGAGTAGTACTTTTTGCTCCATTGATTTAGGGGTGGAGATGATTAGGCAACCATTTTGAGGAAGTTGCATACTGATTTTGTGTTGATGCATCAATGTTCTCTTTACAATTTTGGAATGGTAAAATGATATATTCTTTTTGGAAGTTACTTCAGCTTAATCAACCAATCTGTTTTTTCATGTGTGCAACGTCAATCTGAAACTTTGTTTTCTCGTTAAAGCACCATGTGCTTTTGTTGTCATCATACTACTAGGCTTTATTCAACTTTTTCTGTGAAACTAACGTGTCCTCAAACTTTGAAAAAAAATTGATGAACCTTTTGATTAATGGTTTCTATCGTTAATTGTTATCATGTTGACATGATAGTTTATAATATTAACATTACAATTAATGATGTTGACATGGTAGTCTATAATAGCTAATAATGTGGTGTATATTGAAAGAAATTAATTTTTTTATTGAATTTGAGGGTTAAATTGATTTTTTTTTAATTTTATGGTATATATATATATATAAAAAATAAAATTTATTTTAAATTTGAAATATAAAAATAAAAAATATTTAAATATTAAAAATATATATTAAAAATAAAATAATACTCCTATGATATTAATTGAAAATATATAATAATATTTTTAAATGAAGTTATATGTTCTATCAACTATTTAAATTAAATTACTCTAAATTTAATAATCATCTCTGTACCATTTGTAATTTTCAAATTCCTCACCCTAACCATTCAATTTATATGGTTTATTATCTTTTCCATGGCTAGTAGATTCATGCTACGTGAGTATGCATAATATACAATTTTAGTACATATTTCAGTTGGTAGACAACCACACATGCTATATATCTATTTACACTCTATAAATCTTTTTTAGTTTTACACCTTTTTAGGATCATTGATCATTGAATCGAGAGAGATTAAAAGTTGAGATTAACTCATTGTTTTTTCAGTGAATATCTTCTTATTTTCTAATGTTAATATCAATATTTAATTTCTCCTCATACAACGATCCTAAAATAATTTTAAACTTTTAAATTTTACACTGTAATTGGATCCTAGCTCATATATATATATATATATATATTAGTAATTATTTTTTATTTCTAATATTTAATTTTTTAAATATTTGAATATTTATATGTTTTAAATTTAAAATAATTTTTATTTTTCCAAAAAATTAAATAAATCTCTAACCTTAAAAAGATCCAATTCAACCATCGAACTTGATCAAAAAAATCAATTCAATCTATATGTATCATGTCATTAGTCATCGTAGACCGCCACCACATTAGCATCTTTAACCATTACATCATTGTTGTAATGGTCAACAGCGAAAATTATTGATCAAAATGTCACATTGAATTTTTATTTTAATTCAACAGCTACATTGAGTGCAAATATAGTTTAAGTACCACATTGATTTTATTTTTTTTCTGAAAAACTTGAAGGACTCAAATTCCATTAAACCTATTAATAATAAAAATTAATAAGAAAAGTTGTCTTCTTTGATATAATATAATGAATTTTTAAATTTAAAAGATACATGTCATTAAAATAAATAGACTTATTTAAAATTTTCATGAGCCAACTAAATTTTTATATTCCTAAAAAAACATGTAATACTAAAAGGTGTTTGGTTGAGAGGAATTTAAAATTACCTATGAGAATAAGATTATGGAAATGTGACATAACTCTAAAAATGTTGTATTATCTTGTTTAGTTTATTTAACAAGATTGTAAGATTATAAAGTTGATTAGAGGAATATAAGATTATTTAAAATTAGAATACATATTTTACTAAATTATCCTTGTGATATAGGTTCTTTTCAATAAGTTAAAATTTTAATATTGAATTACAAATATTTGCATTAAAATTCATTAAAATATTTTATATTCTATTATTAAATTTTATACTCTATTAATAAATTTTATTATAATAATAATAATATTTTTTTAACTATTATTAACTTTATTGTATGTAATGTATAATTATATAATCTATTAATAAATATTATGATAACAATAATCTTTAAAAAATTAAAATTAAAATTTATTAACTTTATTCAAATACAACATTATCATTTTTTCACCTCAAAAAATTATAAACGATTAATATTAAATATTAAAATATAAATAATTTTAATTAACTAGATTTATTAATAATTTACTAAATAAAACTCTTTATATACTATTATTATATATATATAATTTTAAGTAAAGCAAAAATAAAAAGAATTAAGAATGATTCAAATGAAAAGAACCCATTATTTTAAAGACAATCTAATCCAAAATGTTATGAATTATCAAATACCTAAAAATTTAAAAAAAAATGACATTATCTCAATTTTAACCCAAAAAACACCACTATTATAAATTATTATCATATAAGGGAAATAATAAGAAACAAATATAAAAATATAATTTCAAAAAATTATTCCCTTAATAATAATCTTTTTCAATAAATCAAACATCTTTTCATTTTTCTACCAAACAAATCATATAACACCCAAAAGGGACAAAAATTTATACAAGAGCAAATAGGAATTTGATATTTGTTGCTAAATCATTTCTTAGGGGGTACAATTGTACTTGTCAGGAAAGGTACAAACTATCGAAAGAGTTAACAAAAAGATCAGTGACGAAATGTGCTAAATATATAGCCCAAGACAAGTATGTTACTTTTTGAAATGATACTTCTAAAATTCTTAACATACTGAAAACACACAAGTGATGCAAACTGCGATTAACATGCTTTAAGTTTATGTAACCTACCAAATCCCATCTAAATGAGCTACGCATGGTATAAGTGAGTTGGAGATGAGTTACATATGTGCCTAAGCTGCTGAAGATGTCAAGGGCTCAACCCAAGGTGAATTTCTCTTTCCCATAGCTTTGGAGCTTTCTACAACCTCTTTTTCTAAACAAGGAAAATGCAATTGTTACAAACTGAATTTAAGAATTTAAAAAGGTTTAAAAACACTTCTAAAGGTCTAATCTTCTTAAAACTCGGATTGAAACCCAAAGGTTTCCTAAACCCTCCTTAAACTCATTTTCAAAAACTATGGCCAAACCTTGTGTTTGGGAGCTAGAATTGAAACTTAAGATGAGGGTAATTTGCTGCTTGCCTTGGCTTATTAAGAAGTGTTGGGAGTAAACTAAAGTTTCTTCTTTTAGCATGGTTGCTCAAAAGAAAATGAAAAAGATAAAGGAG